AAGTACTTTGGTTTAATACATCCTCTGCCTGAGGATGTATTAAACGAAAGTACTTGCTGCTTGTCTTTCCTTTCTCCAGTGGTTATTGTGCATCTATTCTTCATGATGTGAAGTTTCTGCATGCATATATATATATATATATATATATATATATATATATATATATTATTTTAGGTTAGGTTAGGAATCCGTTAATAAAACAATTGTACTGCACCGTTATCTTTTATTGAGTATGATCTAAAATCACGGTATAATGACACTAGTATCAATGTAATACAATGGAAATGTAAAAAGTAGCAACTTAATCTAAAATTACAGACTCAGAGTACAGTGAAAATGGATGTCTGACATAAGCCCCCCCGACGAAAGCCACCCAGACAAAAGCCCCCTACTTTGATCGGGGTGGCTTTTGTCTGACAACCCTAACCCTAACCTAACCTAACCCAACCTAACCTAACCCTAACCTAACCAATAATTAACCACAGAGAAGAACAGTATATTTTACCCTCAACTATTTAATTATGTCCGTAACTTTTGAAAGCCCTTACTGTTGTCAGACAAAAGCCACCCCGATCAAAGTAGGGGGCTTTTGTCTGGGTGGCTTTCGTCTGGGTGGCTTTTGTCGGGGGGGCTTTTGTTTGTACCCCATTGAGGATAGTGTCTTAGTATAAAATCGCAATGCTGTGAAACAAAATTAATATTTAATCTCAGTACCGCAGCAAAAGTCACATCAATATTTTTTAACCAATACTTTAATATTTCTTACCTTATAGTATTATGTCTTCCAACGAAGTAAATAACTGGATCGAAAACACAAGAGAACTTAAAAGTCGTCTAGCCTCCCCTCGTATTGTCACGATGGAGACTTGTGCAGAACTGAAGTGAATTGCTTGTAACTGGTGGATTGGTCGGCTGTACATGAACTGATATGACCCGAGACTGCATGGTTTTGCAGCTACTGGAGACGTTAATCCTTCCCTTTGTATCGGCGTTAAGTTAATCCTCGTCGTGTCTGACCTAACACCTGACCCACACCACATGAGCTCACTGGCGTACTTGTTTGAAGTTGTTTCCTTAATCCTCAACAGGTTACAGGTTGTGTGTGTGTGGGGGGGAGCGCATAGCAAGGGTGTAGCTCATGACGTGGCCGTGATGATGTGGGTCAGGTGTTAGGTCAGACACGACAAGGATTAACTTGCCGCCGATACAAAGGGATGGATTAACGTCTCCAGTAGCTGCAGATATGGGTGATGAGCAGACCCAAAAGTGCCGCCCCCCAAAAGTGCCGCCCGGGGCGGACCGCCCCCCCCGCCCCCCCCTAGCTACGCTAGTGCTGTATCTTCCAAACAACCACTAACCACCGACCAACCATCACCGACGAACCAAGTGGGTTCTCCAAACCCTGCAAAAGGAGCACTTTGTTAACTACAGTTCTGTTAAATTCTTCTCCGCCCTATCTAAACACTGTCTGAGATCGAATAAAGACTTACTTGCAACACAGATGAAATGAGTGCGAGAAAGGACGAGGCCACGTGGGCGTTTTCCTTGGCAGAACGCGTAGTAGACGTCCTCATTGGTCAATGACCTGCGCTGATTGACTTGATCACCCTCGGCATCCTTCAGGGCGCTCGCCTGCCTGGCCCCCTCCATGATGTCATCTTTCTCATATTTCTAATAGTTTCTTTGGGACACACGTAACATATTTAGACTGGGAAACTATCCACAATAACTTAAAATTTTATAATTGTCCCTTAACTTCATGAATCGTGTCTATATTAATTCTGAAGTACATTTAAATCTCCATAGGCCTAGATCAAAATGCTTCCACCCCTTGACTGAGGGCGTTGCTTGGAGGCCTTTGTTTTAACTCGCCACGAGGCGTGGGTGTTTCAGCCTGGCCCACTCATGTCTTCATGTTTTTGCAGATCGGTCATTTTTGTTCTAACGTCTCTAAATATCACATTAACATTTCTGAATATTACATCTTCTAAAATTACGAAATTATCCAGTTTGTACATAACATTACTCAAATTCATGTTGACGGATTCGGTATGTTTAATGAGACTGGATTCTATAATGTTCCTACTGACAATTGAATTACAAGGTAATATTGAGGAGGTATTATCCCAGTCAATGCAATGCTTATTATCCTGATTTACCTTTCCCTCTTTCTTGTAGTAGGTAGTAGGCAGCAATCAAACAGGGAGATACTACCGCCTGGGAAGATATTGGAAGCATAATGTGTTGTTTAATGGTAGACCCTGCTGCCATATGGCATAAAAAAAAATTGTGATCAAGTCCCAGGTTGCTCATCTGACTTTCTGCCTCATTTGCACACAATTGCATGGTTTCAATTGTTTCTCTTACTATTGACAACACAACATACCTATATTGTTTCTCACCAATTGTGTGTAAATGAGGCAGGTAGAATCTTTGGAAAGAATTCAGAGGAGAATGACAAGACTAATCCCGGGCATTAGGAACCTTGAGTATAGAAACAGGTTAAAGCATCTTAATTTGCACTCCCTTGAGAGACGTAGAGCGAGGGGCGACCTGATAGAGGTGTATAAGTGGAAGGCAGGGCTAAACAAAGGGGACATTACAAAGGTACTCAAACTATCCAACCAGGAGCGAACTCATAACAATAGTTTTAAATTAGACAAATTTAGATTTGGGCACGAAATAGGTAAACATTGGTTTGGAAACAGAGTAGTGGATGAATTGAACACGTTATCAAATATCATCATTAACTCGAATACGCTGGATAGCTTCAAACATAGTTTGGATGCTTATATGAGCAATAGGGGTTGGGTGTAAATGGGACTGCCTAGTATGGGCCAACAGGCCCTCTGCAGTTTCCTCCATTCTTATGTTCTTATGTTCTATTGGGGTTTTTGAGTTACAGTGGATGGTAATGTAGTGGAAGCGTCCCTCAATAGAATACCGAACCAGCACAAACAAAATTAATAAAATTATTTTCGGTGATCGTGGAATAGCTAGTACCTGTGATTGGGGTTAATGAGACACACTGGTAAGAGATAACACTTCTATTCCTTCCAACACTACAGACGGAATCAATAATTGTACACAAGCACTAGAGTACTTCTTAGCGTAGCTTACACCATTACAATGGGAAACAAAGTTTGTACATGGCATCAACAAAATTATTAAAAGAGATTAATTGCATCCGAAAAGAACTAATAATGCAGGGGTACTACATACACCAGAACAGACACAAGAACGAGGAACTCAACTGAAACAATTCCTTCATACGTCGTACTTCACTTAGTAGCATATAAAACATAAAAAAAAATATTACTTGCACCGTTGAAAATACCTTAAGTGCATCCGACAAAATTATAGTAATCCCTGAGGAATAGAAATCCCGATTTAGTCAAACTACATAAGAACATGGATCACTCATAGCCTGTCTGGAATGACCCACAAAATTCTATAATACTAACTGTCCTAACTATACAGAACCCGAAGGTTGTAACTACTGACCTTCCAAGTGGCAGGCATTAACAAGAAACCGTGAAAATCAATCATGACCCGTCAGGCAGGCGGGTGATCCGCTGTTTTTTCATTACTCTTTCTAGATTCAGGAGTCATGAGTGCAGTTCTCCACCAACTCCCGCAAAATGCTTCATACATAAGTTCAGAATACACCCGTACCTTAAAGTGCTACAACATTAACCAATTCATGAAGAGGAACTCCTATGTCCCACGTGTGCAATCAACCTTAAGACCGTTGATCTCATATCTGGACTTGGCTATTTGAGCAACATACACCCAATACTGGGGAGATGAATTTCTCTACGTAACCAGGTGTACTCGATCCCAGTCAGAAAAGAGATTAAGCTTCCCTCACACTATGCAATTTTTCTCCATACATTGTATAAACTCCTTAGTTGTGGTGTAGGGTAGTCGACGGCTTTACGCAAATCTCGGTGGTTTCCTCTACGCGTGCGTTTGCACACACCAAAATCCTTGGAAATTCAGGTAGATCAGGTAGCCAGCATGGATGCTGCTTTCCACGTGGAACCTCGTGATCACCTCGTTACCGATACCACCAGCCACTAACCTTTAGCTTCACTAAAACCTGGAATAATCCACCTATTAACCACTCTGTATACCCTTTCCCGTCCCTATCTAAGCACTGTACGCAATTGAAAAGAACTTATTTCAAGATCTACTTAACTGTTCTGCTTAAATTTCCAATTCTCCCCTTATCGTCCTTTATTTCTTTTTCGGGAAAGTCTACCGCCACTTTACTATTTATTTGCGTCTTTAATTCAGGACACGAACGTTCCCCACGGCTTTCCAGTAATTATTTTACTTATTCGTGAAGCACATGACGTCATTCTTCTCTTACAGTATGTCGATGGAAATTTATCCAAGATAACTTTTGCTACTATTATAGTTGGCTTGTAACTTCGTCAACATCGATGAATTAAATTGAAAAAATACATTTCTTAGGTCTCGTGGGCGCCAGCTGGTCACTTAGGGCCGAATTCAGAACAGTGATTTGAAACCGCATGAAGGTTTAAACCAAGAATCGAGCGAAGATTGAAGATTGTTGGTATTCAGAACGCTGGTTTGAGCCAACACAAAGATTCAAACCAGGTTTGAGATCGGAATTGTTGATCCTCGCGTTAATCCAGCCTGGAGGCAAGTTTAGCGGTCGATCTTTCAAGCAAGTCAACATGAATTTTGACAGAGAGCGCGGGTTTGGGCAATATCATCAAATTGGATTTTTTTTTAGAGAGAAGACTGATGGTAGATAGGCAGAATCCTATCAATTTGTATGATGACACGCAATTTAAACAACGATATAGTTCAGCAAGGCAGATTACCTTGATATTTTCCGTGATATGGAGCATCTACTTGACAGACCTGTTGACTAAGGTTCACCTCTACCTCCCATTCATTAGCTAATGATTGCCTTGAGATTTCGTCGCAACGAATAGTTTCCAGGTAAGAAAGAGTTTGGTTACTGAATGAATAATGGTAATGTGTTACAACACTTTCGTGTCCATGAAGATCAAGCAGGTAAATGTTAAGAACGCTGATGCTTCTTATTTTGATTGTTTTTCTTTAGATAAACTATTTTGATGTATTTTCAATATAACTGAATCAATGATGAGTGCATTTTGATTTTAATGCATTAATAAAGGAAAGTCTTCTCATAACATTACTAATTAGGGGAAATGTGGGGTTAAAAGAACAGAAAGAAACCTAACCTAACCGAACCTAGTCAGGTTACTACGCCCTGTATTAATTCATCTTGCTTTGGTAAAGAATATTGACACCCATCCCGGATTAGATCTACATTTTGTATGTAATGGTTCTTTCTCTAGGAATTTCTTTCTTATCATAAACAACACAGCCACGTTGTAACACAGTACCATAAATCATTATAATGTGATCATAATTTTATTGTAATTATAGTAATAAAAGTAACTTTTGATGTGCAAGGAGAGCTTTCTCCTCGTCCGTAAACATTACTCTCGGTGGTGATTGGCTGTCGTAATGGTGTAACTGGAACGTGATTGGGTGGAATTTCAGTGTTCGAATCCTTGCTCGTAATTGAAGATAATGCAACAGATTACCCGATCCGGGGTTCAAGTCGATGTTCTGAATGTGGGTAATCCACTGCAGGAAATCTCTAATCGAGGAATTTAGATTCGCAGGCCTGAGCCGAACTCAAATCCCAGGCTCAACTCACCGTTTTGAATTCGGACCTTAGTTCCCGAGTCACCCGCAACAAAGCTTGGATGCGCACGAAGGCTTTGTATAGGCCTGCCCATGCGGTATGAAAATTACTCTGGCCGCCGCACCACTTATGTTTCCTTGTTCCTTAAATCAGGAATTTTCGTTCAAAATTTTCAAAAATATCACACACACACACACATTTATTTCTAATCAGATAATGATTTTAAAACATTATCTTCATCGGTGCTACAAAGAAATAAAGAACCATATACGTGAAATTAAGCACAATAAAATAAAACTATAAGTCATGCTTATTGTCTTTAAGAAAGAAGCTATTTCAAAATCGTTGGAAAAAACGAAACGAAAATCAATGTGTGGAAAGGAGTCTTTTAAAACTTTTTGTAACTGTTTACGAATACAAAAACTAATATAACCAAGGTGTCAAGGTTTTTACTAGGTATGCTTGGTTGCAGTAAATGTAGGAATAATTTTCGACTCCCACTGGTGACAGACAGACAGGCAGACAGTTTACGAACTATTAAACTGTTTTATATGCAGCAGAATAATTTTTTTGGGCGAATTAATTTTAATTTTTTGGTTGAAAATGGTTACGGATTCACTTTCTATGATGATATCATACTGATTTATTTATAGTTTAAAGCACAATAACTCTTTTGTACAAAACTAAATTATATTATAATCAATGCAGGTAAGAAGGTCCAGAGGAACAGGCCCGTTTTGACAGAGGTCACTACAATGACTGCGTATCTCAGTTTGGTGCTTGTCATGGCTGGTATCCTGCAGAACACTGTCATCTCCATCCTTCTACCCACAGGTATTTAAGCACTGACAATTATATGAATTTTACACTTACACCTACTGGTATGGAGTAGGAGGGAGAGAATAGTTCAACTGGACTTACGCGATTTCTGATATCTCTTTGCAAAGTACCTCCCCATGCCTGAGCTGACAATGCTGTACAGATGCAGTAGATACTTCACTCCTGAGCAGTTGCTCTAAGTATATAAGGGATTCATTCGTCCTAACTTGGAGTACTGATCTCATATCTGGGGTGGCTCTTCTTCTGTCCAACTGTTAGATAGGGTGGAATCAAAGACATTTCGTCTTATTAACTCTCCTCTTTTAGTTGATAATTTTTCTTCCCTTTCTCTTCGCCGCAATGTTGCTTCACTCTCTCTCTCTTTTACAGGTACTTTAGCGGGCAATATTCGGTGAATTTGGCATCCTGTGTACCACCGGCAAGGCCATGGGCTCGTAACACACGTCTTGCCCGCGGTGCCCACCGTTTCTCTGTTGCTGTCGTTTACACTAGAATAACCCGTTATAGTACATCGTTCTTTCCTCACACAGCCAAACTGTGGAATGCTCAACCTTCTTCTGTGTTTCCACACTCATATAATGTCTCACTTTAAAAAGCTGGTTTCTCAGCATGTTCGTGGTGTAGATTAACATATCCTTTTCTTTACTATTTTTGATTTATTTTTACTCTTATTTTTTCGCCCCCCCAGGCCCCGTTGTGGGTCGATGACCTGTGCCCATGTGGGCTATTCTCCGTTAAAAAAATAAATCCGATGTGCTCTCTGCCTTTCAACAGCTATAAATCAGAGTAGTTTGATTAACTCTTAAAGGCCATGTCTGCATGAACCTTAACTACTCCCCAGAGGACTCCCAATTGAAAAAAAAGTCTGTGGGTCCACTTGAGAGGATGTGGTATGTACATTATACAAATTTTTAAATCACATTTGTGACATAATGGGGGAGGGGTGGCATGTAGCAAATTTAGATGATCTAAGAAGTAGAAAAAACATGTTGGAGCAGTTCTCACCACTCTTCAAATAGACCATTTACGACTTTTTTTTAGCTTAATTTGATTTCCATACATTCCTACACATAAATTACTTGGATTAGTTATCTTAAAGGATTCCCTTTTATGATGGTTAGGAGAATTTGGAGGATATAAGCGGCGATGAAGCTGGTGGATGTTCCTACACAAACATGGAATTCTTTTAAAAAGAACAATAAAATTCTTCATGTGCTGTTCTATATGGAGGAGATCTTATAAAATATATTATCCCTTTGCAGATTTATACGATTTATGTACATCCAAATCTATTTCCTTTCTAGAGGTTATCGGGCGGGGGTGAGAGTACCACGGAAATCTCCCACGTTCCAATAACGAATCGTAGATATTTTTTATTTTTTTTTAGCCCAGAGTGCTTCTTGCAAACCGACCATGGGGATAGCACAGCATGGTGTACACCACGGAACTTCTTGCAATTGGCCCTTAGTGCTGAGCTAAGGAGTATGTAACCGGTTCCATGGCCACTTATTGCGGGCAGTAGTTTGATATCACTCACTATAGGAAGACGTTATTTAAAGTCATCGTTGATGTGCTCCGTCTTTCCTCGAGGGAGGACGTCGGATATTTTCCGTTCTCCCTCGAGGGGTCTTTACTCAAGATCACTCCCACTCTCACATCAATCGGACGTATTTAGTAGTGCTACTATAAGATAGCCTCCGTCCTCATTTAACACTCATTGCTACAGTTATTAAGTTACGTGATTTGGCCTAATTAATATGCTAATTAGTTCGATTATGCAAAATGCTCAATATATGCAAATTAGGATGCTCACGACCAGTACATTGCATTTCCAGCATAAAACCTTACAATACTGGACACCTTATCACGTGCTCTGAACATGAACCTCATAGCTAGTGGAAAGTTACAGGGGATGATAGTTATACAAGTCTAATGTAATTAACTCAAATTTATATAAGTAGATATATTATGTTCCCCCCATTACTGTGATATATACTGTTACTTTAAAAAGATGAATGTGGTGTAATGGTCAGCATCCTCGCCTCGCAAGCGAGCGGACCCGAATTCGGTCCTCTGACAAGTTTATTTATACCATTTGTCTCTGTCTACCCAGCAGTAATTGGGAACCTGGATGTTAATCGATTTGCGGATCTTATTCTGGGGTAATGGTTAGCCAGTGCAGTTGGCTAGTTGTCCGGTCATCTCGGACTTTCCTTGACATTGGGACATGCAGCTCGTTAACTTAGGGTGTGGTTATCGTGTTGGCGACAGCTTCTACACCTTAAACAAATTCACGTCTAGGTGGCCCTTGGGCCAGCCATCCTTGATTTCGAGGAGCTCCCATTATTATTATTTACATGCCCAAATATACCCGATGATGGATACCTGTCAATCAGTGTGAGACGGAAAAAAGACCTGGCTAGCCCACGTAAAGATGAGTGGCCCAGAATGGACGAGTTGACGGTTCTGGACAAACAAAAGAAATACACTCTGCCACATTCGTAGAGTGATACAGTATATATAATTTTTTATAAAAGTTCAAAGTCCTGCTATAACAGTCGAGATAAGTTTATTTCTCTAGAAACAGGGCCGCCATTTGCAATGACGTCACTAGTTTCAAACTCATCACTGCAGTCGGAGGTAGTAGAAAGGGTGGCCTCTTCATACCCCAAATGCCAGGTTCAGGTAAGTTTTAAGGGTGTTTTTTTTATGGTCTAAGTCATGGACATTTCGTAAGTGAAGAAATGTGCCGTGAAGAGCAGCTTCAAATATCGGTTGGATGGGTATATGAGCGATAGGGGTTGGGTGTAAATGGAGCTGCCCAGTTCGGGCCATAGGCCCGCTGCAGTTTCCTCCTTTCTTATGTTCTTTTTGACATAAAAAACTCCCATGCTCACACCAGCTCAGCTGTCATGTACTCTTACCTGGTAGACTTCCTCTTCTTTTTTTTTCAGTGCACTTATAAAGTATATCGGTACTAGATGGAGATACGAGTAAATTTTGAAGTAATGACATTATCTGGACTTTGTTTTGAAAATGCCTGGTGCTAGTTAACATGACAACATAGTGCTGTTAATGTTTTGATGATTTACTAATGAACCACTGGGATGTATCATTTATATTAATTAATGGGTAAAATTTTACTTTAACTACCATAAGTATTTTGATGTTTAGATTCGAGATAGGCTATATCGGGTAAATTTTAAGTTTTGTTCAACCCTGTACTTAAACATGCAGACATGCTCTAACCTAACCTAAGCTATGATCTGTATTTTCTTATGCGATCGAAAAATGTTTATATTACTTAATCCCATAGTTAGAATCTTGAAGTTCCCCGGATGACCCAAACAGTGAAACAGACAGGAGGTTAACAAAAATAGACAGATTCATACATGCACAAATAGACAATATGGCAACTAACATGACAGACAGACAGCTGAGTAACTGGCTCACATTTGACTGACTGGTTCACATTAGTAAAGACAGGCTTACATTCAAACACCACGCAGACGAACAGACAGTTGGGATGGCAATAGAGAGGCCGGATAGACTTGAAACAGATTAGAAAGCATTTATAAACAAGAATAACACCAAATTGACCATAGCTGCGTCAGTGAGGGTAGGAGGTCTTACATCCATCAGCGTAAATAATAAGACTCAACACCCTCGGTCAGTCATGTGAGATGGGCCTAAAACTGACTAACGTAGATGATGACTATGATGACTTAACACAGGTGATGACTTAAGCAGATGGTGACTAATCTAACCAGAATCAAGGTCACTTCTCTACATAATATAATTTATCTCGGAATGATCATCGGTGATTCATAATAATTTTTTTGTTTTATGATTTTAACCTCTCCTTATGGCGAATATTTCTTTAACCAATTATTCGAACCTGTATTCTATTCCTTCCTAATAGTATACTAGATACTTACAGTACCTAACAACCAGGACCATGATTAAAACAACCAGGACCATGATTATAACAACCACGACCATGATTATAACACCTGCGACTATGATCATAACAACCACGACCATGATTATAAGAACCATGACTATGATTATAACAACCACGACAATTATTATAACAACCACGACCATGATTATAACAACAACGCCCATGATTATAACAACCACGACCATGATTATAACAACCACGACCATGATTATAACAACCACGACTATGATTATAACAACCACGACCATGATTATAACAACCAGGACCATTATTATAACAACCAGGACCATGATATATTTCAACCACGACCATGATTATAACAATCACGACCATGATTATAACAACCACGACTATGATTATAACAACCACGACTATGATTATACATCCACGACTATGATTATAACAACCACGACCATGATTATAACAACCACGACCATGATTATAACAACCACGACCATCATTATAACAACCACGAATATGATTATGACAACCACAACCATGATTATAATAACCACGACCATGATTATAACAACCAGGACCATTATCATAACAACCAGGACCATGATATATTTCAACCACGACTATGATTATAACAACCGACCATGATTATAACAACCACGACCATGATTATCACCACAACCATGATTATAACAACGGCCATAACCACGACTATGATTATAACAACCACGATTATAACAACCACGATGATTATAACAACCACGACTATGATTATAACAACCACGACCATGATTATAACAACCAGGACCTTTATTATAACAACCAGGACCATGATATATTTCAACCACGACCATGATTATAACACCATGATTATAACAACCATGAATATGACTACAACAGCCACGACCATGATTATAACAACCACGACCGTGATTATAACAACCACGACTTTGATTGTAACAACCACGACTATGATTATACATCCACGACCATGATTATAACAACCACGACCATCATTATAACAACCACGACCATCATTATAACAACCACGACCCTCATTATAACAACCACG